ACAAGTATATATTAGCGCAAATTTATCTCCAGTAGAGCAAGAAAATAGGAGAAATCTTATTTTATAGAGAAATAATGAAAATAATAAATTAAGTGGATCCAATGAATCCACTTAATTTTTTATTTTCATTTGATTTTTCACTTGATTTTTTTTAAGTATCTTTTATAATGGTCCTTCATATTTATTAGTCTTCTCATATTTATCAAAGCGGTCCCTTATGTCGGTCAATTTATCTGACCGACATGATTATCAAGAGAAGAAGAAAGCAAGCTGATGGTGATTTAGCAGTTGATGCTTCGGAAGACATAAATGCCAGGGATACATTTAGAGTGTTTACATTCTACAGCATAATTGAAAAACTGACGACTGAAATGGAGAGAAGAAGTAAAGTTTACAAAGATGTGTCAGTACAGATTTCATTCATCAATAACCTACAGTAAAGCAAAGAAGATTATTTCAAAGGCTATCATATCTTAGTCAATTTTTATCAGGAAAATCTCACCATGGACATCGTTGGAGAACTACAGCAGTTTTTTAAGTACCTCAACTCTAAGTTTCAGGGGAACAAAAGTGATCTCATGCTGAACTGTATGATGTTATTGTTCAAGATAAACTTCGTAGTGTTTTTCCATACCTGAATATTACCCTTTGCATTTTTCTTACCTTCATGCTAACAAATGTTTTTGCTGAGCATTCCTTTTCACAGCTTAAGAGACTCAAAAACCAATGTAGAACAACAATGAAGCAGAAGAGATTGGACTCTCTGTCTCTACTTTGTATCGAGGCAGATATGCTTACTTCAGTTGACTTTGACAATGTAATAAACGGTTTTGCACTTTCAAAATCTAGGAAACAAAATGTCTAATTTATTAAATTTATATAAGTTACTAGTAGTGTAGTAGTTTCGTAACTGTTTACATCACACTCATCCATGTTATTTACAACTTACATCATCATAGTTACATGATGTGTGACAATGTGATGTGTAGATTATAGATTATAGTATGTTTATACAATATTGTAATAAATAATAATGTTGCACAGCAACTTGTCTCTACCTATTATTGGTTGGCTCTGTTCGGACACCATATTTGGTTAAGTGCTTAGGACCCCTGAATAGGTTAATTGGACCCTACAAACATCATGCATGTTACAAACTTCTTATAATATCTAAGAAGATGATTCTGAACTTGAGAACCGTTCCTTGAGCCAAGAAAACGATAACGCAAATCTTCTTTTTTGTAAAACCACAGTATTACAGAAAATAGAACAGTTAAATATTCACAAATCAATCAAAATTGATGGCGTAAGTCCATACGTTCTAAAAATCTGTGCATCGTCATTTTGTATTCCACTAAAAATAATTTTCATGAAAAGTTTTAATTCAAGTTCATTACTATTGGAATATAGCCAGGCAAACGTTATGCCACTACACAAAAGCGGTAGTCAACGTTACGCCTCTACACAAAAGCGGTAGTTACAGGTTAATTTCGCTAACATCAGTCATAAGTAAATTAATGGAAAGTATAATTTGCAGCGTAATAATAAGTAATTATATCACGTTGCAACAACATGGTTTTGTACCAAAAAAGAGCAACTTCACAAATTTGCTGTCAAGACTTTTTTAGTACAGCTTTAAATAACAAACATCCAGTCGACGTCCTATTTACTGATGTTGACGTCCTATTTACTAATGTCGACGTCCTATTTAATTTAGTCGACGTCCTATTTACTGATTTCGCGAAAGCATTTGTCACTGTATTGCATAAATACATTATCCATAAAATACATTATCCATAAAAATAAATTGTATGGCTTTATTAATAAATTTACTGCATAGATAAAATCTTAATAGACAACAACGAGTTGTACTTGGCAAAAACCAGCCTGCCTAAAGTCCAATCAGAAGTGGTGCAATACAGAACTAGTACTTGGCTTTTATTCACAATATTCATAAATGACCTTGCTTGTCAACTTTTCATTGTAATAAAAATATACGCCGACGATAGTAAAACTCTTGTTGAACTGGACGAATTCGAAATACCAAGAAACGAATTACAAAATGGTATAGATAAAATAGCTAAATAGTGTCACGTATGGAAGATGAAGTTCAATATGAGTAAATGTAAAATAATGCATTTTAGTAAGTACAATCAAAAAAAAATTATTCTTTCTTTGACTACGAACATAACATAAGAACTCGAATTAAAGGCTCATCAAGGAAATACGATACAGCAGCTCTTGAAAAGGTAAAAGAAAAATATCTCGAACAAGAAGCCTCTTATATCTAAGTTATGAATCACTGTTAAAAAGGTTTAATATTACAATGCCAGAAACTCGTAGGTTTAAAAGAGATTTAATTGAGTGCTTCAAAATCGTCCACGGTTTCATACAAGTTAAGTGGTGTATATCTACGTAAAAAATAGTAATAAAACCTGATGAGTTAATGGAGCAATCTGCATACAGAAGAAATAATATTCAATTCAAAAAAGAATTAATAAAAAAATGTTATCAATTAAGAAAGAATTTCATTCCTAATAGAATAGCCACTGTATGGAATTGTCTTCCTCCGTCTATCGTGCTATCTACATTAGCGAAAACATTCAAAAAACGATTAGACGAACATATTGAAAGCAAATATAAAGTCACCTGCTGATATAGAGCGTGCTGATTCCACACTCTCGTTTAACATTATAAACATTTAAATTATTTTGATTGTTATTTTATTAAATTTCGACAATAAAAAGTTATTATTATTAATTTATCATAAATAACGACAGAATATTTATCGTTAGTCATGCAAGTTCGGATTTCTTTAATGAAAATTTTCCGTACGGTTAGGGTATCCAAAGAATCGTCTTTTTTATAACTATTCCTGTTTCCTTTAATTTTTTTGAATTTTTTAATATGCTAATGTTGCCTTTATAATTCAGTACTTTCATTGCAATCAATTGAGGCTTAAGTTTTGTCCAGCTTTGTCCAGTTTATGGCAAAGTTATTAAGTTCATTTAAATTTCAAACCAAAAAAGAAATTTTTAAAGTTTGAGATTTATTTGTGCTTGAATAACTCTGAAGTTATTTGATTCTATTTTTTCAGCTTTTTATCTTTATTTGATTTACTGATCAGCGCAACAGTTTTATGCCCATTAGGGTTTTTAAAATAAAATCTATATTCAAATAAAAGTATATATAGGGGCTCTATGAAAAAATTGCGATGACGTATTATCATCTTAAATACTCTTTGAGCCCCAGTCTGTTTAATTCTTTATTTTATAAAAATCATTTTATAAGAAAAGTTTATATTTTATATTGTATATACAAAAACGGTGCTTGTTGACAAGATTTTACTGTCTTCTTCTTTTAGGGACATATTTTTTTGTCATATCATTTATTTTGCCACAAAAAAAAAAAAAAAAAAAAAAAAAAAAGAACTTATGTACCCCTTTAATAACTACGCCACTTAGATTTAATTTGTTTTCAAAAATACTTAGAAACTTTTCTTCATTTTGATTCCAACTTTCAAATTTCAGATATTCCTACAAGCAGCAAATTGTTCCTTGTTGACAATTTTTACAACTAACAGGTCTCAAAAACTAGCTAAAGAAAGATCAAACCTTTCTCAAAATATGCTTAAGAAAAAAGTATATTTTTGATATGTTTGAGAAGATATTTCCTGAGCTTTCTAACCTGCATAACCATCCCTAACGTGTAAAGTTAAGCAGAATAAATGAATATGATAATGAATATGAAAATTGGATTAATTATTATTAAAATTATATTGATAAAAGTAAGCTTGCCGTTCATTAAAAAGTGTGCCGTTAAAAGTAAGCGTTAATTTAAAACTATCGTTAAAAGTAAGCCTGCCGTTAATTTAAAAACATTTAATATATTTTAAGAAATATAATAAACTCCAAAAATTCTTACTTTATCAATGCTATTTCACTTTCCAAAGCTGCTCAATTTACCCCTACAAGACAAGGTGACACTTTACCCCTACAAGACAAGGTTTTAGTAAAATTTTAAAAAGAATAGTAGGAAAAAAACGGATTATCATAGTCAAAAGTCCGGTAACTTTGTAAAATAATAACGCTTAACCGATGCCTGAAAAAAAAAAAAATAAGCATTCAAGAGAAGAATTTTTTACTTTATTATTTTACTTTTTTTATTACTTTTTCGGTCTCAAAGTAGAAAAAGTGCATCTTACATGATTGCCGTCTAACAATCATTTGTTGCGCATTGTGTTACCATTCTGATTCCCTAACCTTTATCCATAAAATATTTTCTAATGCTACGTGTGGTTTTCGATATATTTTAATTTGACAACTTGCCCCAATGCTCTTCCGCGGTGCAAAAAACCCCACTTCTGCTATGTGTAGTTTTCAATATATTTTAATTTCACAACTTGCCTCAATGCTCTTCCCAAATGCAAAAAACCCCACCTCTGGGCGAGTTTTGCGACATTGTTTGGGAAGGAGGCGTGAACTTTCTACTAAATACTCTTTCGCGGTGCTCTATGATAAGACCGTAAGGACTTCTTGGGGCATCTTAATCAACTAAAAAAAAAAAAATGCTCAGCTAACACTGCTCTAACCTACTTGTTACTTTGATGGTTTTTTAAGTTGTGTATGAAAAACGCAGTAATACTGATCAGGCTTGACGAGAACACTTTTTAGTTCAATTTTTCCCCCGCCATGTATAAATGTATTGTTAAATCAGCATATTAATTACAAACAGATGCTATACCGGATGTTTATCAGATCATACCGAGTGTTTATCATTAGGAAAAGTAGAGACAGTAAACTCCCGTTAACCCGAACCTCCTTGGCACCAAGGAAAACGGTTCGACTAAACGAATGGTTTTCTTAAGCAAAGCAATTGTTATTGCTTTCAAAGGACTAAAGAAAGTAGTTTGAGATAACAAAATTTTGAGTTTATTCCCGGTGTTCAACTTACCGGGAATAAACTGTATATTAATTATTGTAAGATAAAAAAAAAATGGATTTTCAAATGTGGTTTATTACCATAGATGGTAATTACTTTTTATATTCAATATTAAAATGCACGTAATTAAATCGATCAGCAATACCTGTATAACTCATTTTTTGAAATAGATCAAAAGCAATGTCAAAACTCTTTTCACACTCTTTATTTTTAAACTCATAGCTTAATTCTTCCAGATTTTTTTCTAGTAAATAAATTCCATATTTTGATTTTGTTAAATCATTGTAGTATTTTAATTTTTCGATTGCATACTTTTTCCCAATTATATCATTTATTCTTGTTTCAACTTTCAAATACGTTCTCATAATTTCTCTTAACCTTGGCTTATTCTTTTTCCATTTAATTTCGCTTGTTATTCTGCTGACACTATATAATATTCCTGGAATTATGCCAAATCCTACAAAAAGGGTACACAATAGAGCTCTTTTTACTTCATTTCGATCGCCAAAACAACTTTGTTTATCGAACTCTCCTTGTTTCATATATGCTCTATATAATTTATACTTTAACGCAAACTCTTCTTGATTTTCTTGCTTAACAAAGTCCAAATAATTTTTATTAACAATATATTCCACATAATCAGAGTAATCACGAGATCCAAAGCACGAGTATTTAGGATCTGGGATAATGTTATCGATTTTCAACTCAACTAGTTTTGATCTATGTTTATCAATTTTTTCAGATAGTTTTCCCTGAGAAGTAAAGTACTCTTTATAGTTTTCGATTGAAGTATACAAACGTATGTTTGTATCAGTTGTTTTTCCGTCTTTTTTATTTTCCATTGTTTTGTTACCATAAGAGATTTCATCTATAAAGTAGGTTGCATAGTAACGCGCAAGATATACTTGAGTTGCTCTTCGAAAATTCATTTCTTTTCTTGTTTGCTTTTCGTTTTGTATCTCTAATTCCTTCCTATTTTCATTTATGTTGTCTACTTTACTTGAGCTGTATTTAGTCATTTCAATTAGGTTTTGTTTGTCTTCTTTTACTTCATCCAAATTTTCGTCTATCATCATTTCAATTAGCTCTTTTCTCAACTTGTTTGCTTGGTTTTTAAACCTCTCTTCCCGTATTCTTTTCTTTTCTTCTATTTTCAAGTAGTTATGAATACCCAATCCTAACTCGTAAATAGCAGTCGTTGTTAAGATTGCTGCTCCTAACCAATCATTAATTGCTTTAACATTGTTTACTGGTAATATGGTCATGTTCAAGGACCCTTTTACAAAGTTTTCTAATTGTTTTCCTACTGCGTTAGCCGCTGTTGTTTGAAGTTCTTTAAAATTATCCCCTAAAATGTAAGCTAGTAATTTCTCTTCATTTGGTTGAGGTTGCACAATTTCATATGTACTTTCAAAAAGTTCTATAGTTTCATTAATTTTCTTTTTACCCATCTCTTGTGGTGTTATAATTTCCATGGCGTTTATCAATGCCTATAAGATAAATAATGAATTTTAGTTTCAAATTTTTAGGTTGCCTACAATGTAAATGAAACCAATTAAATTAACTTACAAACGTATTTATTTCAAAACAACTTATGTAAAATATGTACTCAATAAATTAATGAAAAAACAAATTTAGAGTAAGTTGTATGTATTCATTTATTGCTAACTTAAGCATGCAACACAATTTAAACAAATGCATTGCATGAGTTTATTGCAAAACTATGCACGCTATTACATTAGTGGTAAACTATGTAAACATTGAAAAAGTGAATCATGATTAGTGAGTTATCTGAAAATATTTGGTTTTATTGTAAATTAATTTGGCAAAACAATTTAATTATAATAAAATGAAAACTACCGTATTTTTTCATCAAATAAAAAAAACATGTCTCGTCACAGTGTGGAGTTCAACAAATTATACAAAACATCACATGGGGAGCAGTGTCTTAAATCGCAAAAAAAAAAATAATTCACAAATGATATATACACAAGTTTGTTTATATCTATTTGTAAAACTGTGTAGCGCACTTATGCCAGCTTCTACTAAAGCAGATTTGTGTTCAAATAATTTTTTAAACAAGTTAGAACTTTACACTTCAAGTTCAAATTTTAGAAATGCAATTTTCTTTTTTTAATTTCTTACTTCTGCTTTCACATTTTTATTTCAATGTTTTAATCACTTTTATAAATTATTTTTCTATTAAAAGAAACTGAAATTTATTATTTAATTTTTTTTATCTCTGATTATTTTATAAATAACTTTTAGTACAAGTAATTTTTAAATTTTTAAATCATTCCAAATAGCAATGAGGAAAATGATAATTATATAAATCAACACATAACTGATCTTTCTGAAAAACACACAAACATCGTTATTGTTGGAGATTTTAACTACCCAGAGATACTTGGTATAAAAAAAAGAAAACCCTACATCTCGCTCATCAAAATCCTTAAATTTCATTGATTCAATCCGCAATTGTTTTAAAACGCAAGATATATCTAAACCAACCGACTTCATTAAGTACCAAAGCCAAACTACTTTCGATCTAATAATAAATCCATAGAAAACATAATATCACCAAAAATCTACCTTGCTATAATTGGAATAAATCATCCCCACCTTTTATACTTTACCTTAATAATTGAATCAATTGATAAGTTAACTACAAATAAACACTTGAAGAAAACGCGGAATTTTTTTACAAAACGCGGAATAAGCAATTTCGATTTTATGTGATATTTTAACATATTTTTACTCATCAGTTAAAAAATAATTTGCTAACTCCTAGTCAACACGGCTTCTGTGAAACAAATCTTCTTACTTATCAAATATCTTATCAATGCATGGAAACTTAGTTTAGATAAAGGTCGATAATGTTTATCTTAGCTTTGAAAAAGCATTCGACAAAGTCTCACATAAGCATCTTCTTTTAAAACTAAAAGCCTATGAAATTAATAATCCAATTTTCTATAGGATAAGAAACTTTCTAACAAAACAAAGACAAAGAGTAATGATAAATGGTAGTTACTCTAATAAACAAATAAAAAGTGGAGTTCCCTAGTTTCTGCTCTTATAGCTCTATTATGTATTATATACGTTAATATAACGTATATAATGATTTAAAATCAGATGTAAAATACAAAGAAAATAGCTCTAAACCAATTTTTTTCTAATAACAGACTTTTCTTAAAATCAGTAGAAATATAATAAAAATGAAATCCATAGAATTTTTTAATTTTATCTTGTCAAAAATAAATGTAATAAGTATTTAGCAATGTCGTTTTAAACCTTATTTCATCTGCATTTCAGATCAACAAAACTATTGGCAGATGTTATATTGAGCCTGTTGCAGACGTGAAATTCAAATCATGATAACCCTTAGCGGTGTTTGGTGCTGGCGTTAGCATTTTTTGACCAAGATCACAATATAAAAATAGTAAAAGATTCTGTATTTAAAATAAAGGGAGGTCCGAAAAGATGTAAAAATTGACAGAATCAAAGGTGAAACCCTTCTGAAAGTTTCTGAAAACCACTAGGTCTTGAGTTGTATATTTAACCAGACTACTGGTTAATTTTTGATATTCCAACTCATAATTTGAAAAAATGCCTACGGATGAGACTCCCTCAGAATTTTTGGGTACAATGAATTCAAAAATTTTTAAAATATTTCAAAGTTGCTAACAACTAATCAGAACTCACAGCAAAATCATAAATCTGTTAAGCATAGTTTTAGAAATTTATTTCTCAAAATAAGAAACATATTTCTTGTTTTCAAAAATAAATTGCAGAGTAGGATATTTATTTCTTAAGACAAGAAACGTATTTCTTGTTTTAAGAAAAAATATTTGAAATAAAAAATTCAATTTTGATGTGCTTACAGTAAAATATATTCAAGACAATGTAGAGCGTGTGATGAGCTTGAAGAAGCTCCAGAAACTACTTCAAATAAAGAGTTCTTGTAAAAAAACCATTAAAAAAAGAAAAGTGGATTCAAGGAGCTAGCTACGGCAACTGCTTTCTCGCTTTCATGTTATTGAATGGTACTTATCAATCCAATTTTGATCCAATATCTGACTGCAAACTGTGAATCTTAAAAGTACATTTAAAATTTATTGTTTTAAATAATTTTTTAAGATATTTGTATTAAGCTGAAAATTTAAATTTATATAAATATCTATTGTACATTTGCAGCGTTTAAAAGATGAAACAAGAGATCTGTTGCAGTGACGGATTCAGCATTTTTTGGTGCTTGAGCTAAAATGAATCAAAGTCCAAACATTTGTATGTTTATACTTATGTCAAATAATGAAGCTTTTTAAAAAGTAGCAATAATTGGTGGCTGGGAACAAAAAAAAAACAAAAATTTTGTCCCCCTGCCCCAAACGTGAAAGCAACAAGTTGATGAAATAATTATTTTGCTATTCTTAACTAAACTTTTATTTATGGATAAACTTAAAGTATTGTTTTGCAATATTTGAGCGATCAAAAATTGACTATATAAAATTTGTAACCGCCTCAAATTGAGGGGGGTTTAATCTTTACAAGGTAATAATTTATGAACTCTGAGAGATATTACTATGAAACTTAAAATTTATCAATGAATATAAACATAGTGAAGAATTTCAAAAAAATTGTTTTACCTTCTTGTGGCTCTCACGTTTGAGGCAGGGGATAATATTTTTTTAGTTTCCAGCCTCCAATCATTGCAATATTTTGAAAAGCATCATTATTTGACATATGTGTAAACGTACAAATGTTTGGAGTTTGCGCATGTCTGTTAACTATTTCAAAAATCAAAAAATGCTGGATCCTTCACTGATCTGTGGTTCAATTCCTACTCTAGGCTTTTTCGACATAAAGGAGGCGAAAACTTTCAAGTTAAATGTTTTTCTGCGGTACTCTGTGATGCGACCATTTGGTCTTCTTGGAGCACATAAAATTACCACAGAAAAAATGTGTATATATATATTTTTGAATCACATTGATACGTTTTACTCAAGTTTAGTTTACAACAAAGCATTAAAAGTCTTTTAACTAATTTTTGAAGGAAACCATTTTGGATTTGGATTTGTCTGATCCAAGGCTCCAGTAACTTGCCAAAGTGTTAATTTATCTACCGTTATCAGTGTAAGATAAGCGCAACATATTTTTTAAATTAATAAGCACAGTGTTAATTTTTGGTACAGGAACACATAAAGAAAACATCGTTGAACAATTAAATAAATTTGACATCAGAATATATTTGCGCCAATGCTTGGAAATTGTCCTAAATTTAATCGGCACGAATACTTCTTATCAAGAAAAAATTAAAAATAATTTTTTTTTATATAAATATGACCATATAAATATAAATATTAATGTATTGTAATGTGTTAATGTATTTAATTTTTGCAATTACAACTACAACAGTCTGAACCCTATTTAGAGTTAACTTTTTTTCTAATTATTTATTTAATTAATTTAATTAATTTTTTTCCTAATTATTTTTCTAGCTCTAGAAGCTAAAAAATTAAGAACTCGCTAATATAAAGGGAACACCATTCCCGTGAAAAAGTAAGAATGAAGACAAATGAAGATGTCGTGAAGCAAAACAAAAAGGTTTTGTAAGTTTGGCCCAATTGTTTGAACAACTGTTCCAGTTGTTCAAACAATTTGTTCTTACAGAAAAACTGCTTTAAAAAATTAATTAATTATATATACAAAATTTATATTATATATATATATATATATATATATATATGTATATATATTTTAAGGTTTCAGCAATAAATATGAGCTTGAAATCATTTTTTTAAAATATATATTATTAAGTTATAGTTTTAATAATAAAAACTTTTGCCACATATAGCGGTACTTTGTCTTTTTGCTCTGCTAAGGGTTTGTGTTTATTTGAAAATATGGGATAATTTCCTATTTTAACATTAATTTGCTGTGTGGATTCATATATCTAACATATACATAATTTTCTAATTCATCTAAAATGCTCTCACCCCCTTTTTCTATTTGATTATTAATATCATTGCTTCATGATTTCAATAGTTTTGTTTTATTTCTCTATAAATTAATTGAAATCTCTTACATTTGTATAGTCAATTTATTTACTGGATTTCAAACAAACGAGGTTACACGTTTTGCTCGATTCATGTTATTTAGATATTTGATATATATATATATATATATATATATATATACATATATATATATGTGTTTATATATATATATATGTATATATATATATACATATATATATATATATATATATATATATATATATATATATATATATATATATATATATATATATACATATATATATATATATATATATATATATATATATATATATATATATATATATATATATATATATATATATATATGTATATATATGTATATATATATATATATATATATATATATATATATATATATATATATATATATATATATATGTATATATATATATATATATATATATATATATATATACATATATATATATATATATATATATATATATATATATATATATATATATATATATATATATATATATATATATATATATATATATATATATCAGGGGCGGATACAGGATTTTTTGAAGTTTGAAATAACTAACTTCCAGACATGAAGCGAACTCGAAACTTTTATATGTATATAGTTATATCAAATATGGATACTTTGCAAAAAATTAAGATGATAGGAGCCTGGGAACAAAAAAGCCCCAAAATTTTTGCTACACCTGCCCCAAACGTGAGAGCAACAAGTTGATAAAATAAGTTTTTTACTTTTCTAAACTAAATCTATATTCATCGAGAAATTTTTAATTTTGTAAAACAATCTTTTAGCGTTCAATAATAATGGTCTTATAAAATTTGTAACCCCCTCAAAATGAGGGGTATTCAAACTTTATGTGGCTATAACTTTTGAACGTTAAGAGATTATTGTATGATTTTTAAAATTTCTCGATGAATATAGATTTAGTTAAGAATAGTAAAAAAATTATTTTATCAACTTGTTGCTCTCACGTTTGGGGCAGGTGTAGCAAAAATTTTGGGGCTTTTTTGTTCCCAGGCTCCTATCATCTCAATTTTATGCAAAGTATCCTTATTTGATATAACTATAAACATATAAAAGTTTTGAGTTCGCTCCATGTCTGGAAGTTAGTTATCTCAAACTTCAAAAAATCCTGCATCCGCCCCTGTATATATATATATATATATATATATATATATATATATATATATATATATATATATATATATATATATATATATATATATATATATATATATATATATATATATATATATATATATATATATATATATATATATATATATATATATATATATTTGAAAAATTGAAACAGCGTCTTAATTGGAACACTCGCATTTGAAAAAAAATGAATTATGGCTATATTTTATATTTTCTTAGTAAAACGCATTATTTTCTACATTTTGAAAGTTATTCCTAAAAAAATGCATTTGCAACACTGATTTAAAGTTTTTTTGCGTAATTTTTTATTCAGTGATCTAATTTTGCGTTCACACTATTTCACACTATTGGTTGCGCTTGGTAAACAATGGTGCTATAGGTTATACGATTTTTTGAGTTTAATTTGATGCGATTTAAAATGCAAAATAACAATATAAACTTATCTTATAAGTTGCTGCAAGCATGTTATTGCAGTAATACAACAAAATAGTCCAAAGTTTCCTTATTGTATATATACTTTCCTATATGTATATATATATATATATATATATATATATATATATATATATATATATATATATAAATATATATATATATATATATATATATATATATATATATATATATATATATATATATATATATATATATATATATATATATATATATATATATATATATATATATATATATATATATATATATATATATATATATACTATTCAAATAACCGAACTGTTTCAATACTTGAAACAGTTCGGTCATTTGAATAGTATGGGTCAGCTAGGAGTAACTTTCTTATTTAAATGCAGCTCTTTTAATAAATAATAAAATCGGATTCTTGATAACTTTTTAAAGCTGCGTTTATTTTGGACAAGCCCGAAGTTGCTGTATGGTTTAGTCTTTTTGTTCTTTGAAGTATATAAAAATGTTTCTTCGTGTTTTCATTTTAATTGAAATTCTTTGCAGCTTTTTTCAGCCGATTCTTTACTTTAAACACGTTTATAATTTCAGCTAACTTCTTTAGAGTGTTAAATGTTTTGATTTCATTTTTTTTTTTTAAGAGGTTTTCCTGATATTCGCAACCATGGTCTTGAGAATCAAGTGTTAAAACATGCGTTTAATTACAAAGTAAAGACTTTGCTGAAAAAAGCTGCCCAGTCTACAGATAGTTTATCTGGCACAACCTTTCACATAGATGTAATTTGCTAGAAACAATTTTATTTTGCCAAAACATGATTATTATCTTTAACTAATTTTTTGTTTTGTTTGTTGATAAAACTGGTTTTTCAAGAAAAAAAAAAAAGGAATACCGGCAAATAAAGAATTGCAAATGATAAAAAAAAAAAGAAAAGTTAATAAACTGATGTGTTAACTTGTGCGCCCTCATTAGTTTTCATGCTTGTGTCACTTTTTGTTTGGCATACGTTATTATTATTGCATTTAAATTTCTATGGTTTATTTTCAAGTGAAAATTTATTAGTTCCCAGTTTTTTTTCGTGGTCAAAATCTATTAATTTTGTCGAACAAATATATTTATTCATTTTTTTACTCTTTTTTATTCATTATTAAAATCTTTTTAATTATTTTTAAGAGTAACAGTTCTTAAAAAAATACAAGAAACTTACAGTTAAAATGTTTCAAAACTGAAATAGTTGATAGTTGTTCTACAAAGTCATTTATTAAATAAACTGCTAAATAAACATAGCTTGATTTATGAAACTTTCATTGATTCATGGTAACATAAAGTTTTAACTCTTGGAATTTCATTGGTTTCTTAATTTAAAAAGCTTTAATATTAAATGTAAAAACAAACAGATTAATGCAAGAGTAAACAACTACGTTTATAGCAAGCTTTATTTGTTTTATAGTTTCAATTTTATATATGTACTTTGAAAACTTTATGCAATTAATGGATAAGTTCTTTAGTACACGTTGATACACACAGCGTCTACATTTATTTAATTTAGTTGAAAAATTCAACACAACCAAGTTATAACAATAAAGAGACTAGCAATTACTAATAGTAACATATACAGTTTTAAAATTTACTTTTGTATTTATATTTTATCCATATTCTTCAAAAAAGACGATGTTAAGATTTACAGGATTTTTTTTTATGATTCTCCCACACCTCAAATATATTATTCCCACACCTCAAGTATATTATACCCACACCTCAAATATATTATTCCCACACCTCAAATATATTATACCCAAACCTTAAATAATATTATTCCCACACCTCAAATATATTATTCCCACACCTCAAATATATTATTCCCTCAAATAAAACTTGATATCAAAAATACTTTATACTCTTCTTCTTTGCTATCATTTTCTAATACACTTTTTTTTCTTTTAGTCGCTTCCCATTTATTTTGCATCTGAAAAATCTCTTCACAATGCACAGTGGACTTGTCTAATAACGGAAAAACTATATAGGGAATAAATAAAGACATAAAATACATGTTTATATTGGTTTTTGAGGCCAATAATTTTATTTTTGGGCTCCAGGAAAATTTAATCTGACTATACTTGGTCTCTAGGATTGGTTATGATTGCACAGGTAGGTGTAGTCATGGGTTGCCATGACATTTTTTTGACTTTTATTTATTTTTTGTACTTAACTTTTTTGATATTGTGAGTATAAACAAATTTTTTTTTTCTAAACATCTTTGCTTTTAGCAAGGCTGCAAGCAACCACTAATTAGTGTTGGAAGTTACTGGAGGAGAAAAGATGAATATTGTAGAGCAAGATAACGATTGACAAACGACTTAAAAGATTAGAAATTATATGAATCAGGAAAGCAAGATGAAGGAAGCGAACTCCAAAAAACTTATGTTCGAGGAAAAAAACTAGAGAAAAATGAGTTTTTTGAGCACTTAGCAACAGTCACAGAAAAAAGATAAGACTTAATTGAATTAAAAGTAACACGAGAAAGAATTTTAGTAGATGGCACAAGAGAGGCTAGCTCTTTAGAGCAGTGCCCATCGTATTATTTGTAGAAAAGAGAAAGAGAAGCAACATTAAGACAATGTGATAATGGTTGAAGGTTGGATGCAAGAGCAGGTCCAACTATGTTTGTAATGCGTTTTTGCACATTGTCTAAAAGAGAAAGGGCATCATTAAAGATCCGCCCCAGATATTGCAACAGTATTCAATACAAGGCCAAATTTAAGATTTATTGATATAGAGAATAGAATCCGTAGTAAAAAAAGTGTCGAGCTCAATAAAGAGATGCAACCTTAGTAGATGCTAATTTTGCATTCGATTCGATATATGGTTTCCAAAAAATATCGTTAGTAAGATTTAGTCGTAAAAGATTAAGCGTAGATGACTCATCAAATATATTACCATTCATAAGTATAAGAAGATCTAGATAACGATTGGCTGAAAAAAATTGAGTTTTATCTGAATTAAAGTTCATCAGCCACTGTGAGGCCCCTGCTGTAGCAGAAGTGAGATTCTTTTCAAGCTCAAATGCCCCCTCCAAGCAACCAGAGAGTGTTGGCTTCTTATCAAGACAAGAATAAATGGTAGTATCATCAGGAAAAAATGCCATCATAGGTGTGAGCTATCTGGAAGATTGTTAATGTAAATTAAAATGAGTATAGGGCCGAGGGTTGAACCTAGAGGAACACCTGAGGTTACAGAATAAGAAGAATAGTGCTTTTATACTCCGATTGGGAAGGCAGGATACAATATTCTTAAAGATGTTACCAGATACACCGTAAGAAGAAAGCTTATGGAGAAAACCAGCATGCCAAACTTTATCAAACGCTTCAGAAATGTCAAAAGCGATAGCTTTAAACTCTCCACCTTTATCTAATGCAGAATAAAACCTATCGATTAATACTATTAGCAAATCAGCCGTGGATCGAGAAGTTCGAAATCCATATTGATTATCAGAAAGTAAGTTATTAGATACAAGATGAGAGATTAAGTATTTGGTAATTAAAGATTCAAAAACTTTGCTTATGATAGGAAGGAGGCTAATGGGACGGTAGTTAGACGAATCAGATTGCTCTCCAGAATTTTTAAAAATAGGGATAACAGATGCTGGAAAACAAGACTCTGATAAGCACTTGTTGAATAGTTTTGAAAGTATAGATGACAGCTCCGGGGAAAACTTTTGCAAGACTATAACAGTTATGTTGTCTGGGCCATAAGCTGTAGAATAGTTTAAGCAGGAAATCACTTTAGATACAAAAGCTGGAGTTATACGAATGTCAATAAATGGATCAAGCTGTTTGACGGTTATATTAGGTAGAACACAACTAGTGGAATCAAGAGATGATATTGATAAAAAGTTCTTTGCAAACAATTCAGCTTTGTCTTTAGGTGAGGTGACAAAGTTTGAATGATACAAGAGAGGTGGAGTTCCAGATTTGCCCTTATTATTGATACTATTAAAGATTCTCCAGAAGTCACGAGAGCCTAATTTTGGATATCAAAGTTTATAGCAAAGCTATGCAATTCAGATCTCAATCTATCAGAACAAAGATTAGTTAGTTGAGAAATTTTTGCAATTTTTTTGTATTCTGGAATACTACATTTTCAACAATTTCTTTAAAATATCTGGGATCTAAACACGCAGTGTCTCTAATAATGTCCCTGTCAACTAAGAAACGTTTATCTATGCTAGTGGTAATCTGATCAATTACTCTACGGAAAACATCCATTCTGAAACAATCACGAGGACTCTCTGGTATGTCATCAAAGGCGAGTTCCCCTGCCATACTTTTCTTTCGATGAATTTGTTCTACACGTAATTCTGTTCCAACTTCTGAATCAAGTTCACTAGCATCTAAGAGAGTATTGATTTCTTTAACAAATGCAATTGCCTTGGAATGGACATCTTCAAACGATATTGATTGCAGTTCTCGTTTTGCTGGCTCCAAGCATATTCCAAGCACTTAAATAATCCAGACCTATAGTTTGCAAATATTCGGATGCTTTTCGCAAAACGGTGTACACACGTAGAAGAAATGCTGCAAGAAGAACATCGAATTGACACCCTTTGTCATGCAGTGCGGTGGCTTCGAATGTTGATTTTGCATCAAATCTTGAAGACATCCTAATACAATTAAAAACTTACAAAAGAGCATAGAACGATTCCACTTGTGGAGCATTATAAGTTCCAAAAATTCGTTCAAGCGCCATCTGCTTCAACCACCAACGTGTTTCACCAATTTTTTGCAGTCTTTTTAGTTTCGCAGATCAAACTCCTTGTCCAATGTGAATATCCGTCCAAACGTTAATTCGTTTGCAAGAATCGCTAAAGTAAGTTGGTGTACTCTGCAAGAGACCAATTAAATTTTTGACAGCTAATATATTTTCCACAATATCTGTTGGGAACAAATTTACAGCATTTGGTGAAACGTTGTTAATATAACTTTGAACTCCATGATACTCAACACGCATGTTTGCTGCTCCATCTAAGGATTCGCCCACAATTTTTTATATTTTTAAACCATTGTGTTCAAGCTCTGATTTCAATAGTTGGTAAAGTTCTGTACTTGTTGCCGCAAATAGTTGCTTTTTCACGTCCTTTCCAATTACATATCGTAAGAATATTGTCTCCTGGTCAATCACCGACGTATCTTGACTACTATCCATTTGAACACTGAATTTCTGATCACCAATTTCCTTGATTATACAATTCTTCATCAAGTTTGAAATAGCAGCTAGAATATTGTTAACTGTAATTTTTGACAACATTGTTACCAAACCTCCAGGTCCACGTGAGCTTCCTTTTCCTTTACGTATCAAACAATCTTTCCTTTTTTGACTTGCCCTTTTTCTATATGATTATTAAGAGGAACGTCAAACTCTGCTATCAGCAATATCAATTCCAAAAGGTGTTCGTGATCAATAGATTTAATGTGTAAACTGATGAGAGATTCACCCTAAATACCTCTGTATGGAAGAGCTTGCTTCCCAACAAAAAATAACTGCTGCGAAAATTCGTTTAAATACTTCGATGTTTTTTAATACTTGCGCTTTCTGCTTTTCCACTATACCTTTTTTGATTAAAAAGCTTATTTTTTCTTTCTCTGTTATACAACTTAATAGTGCAATTACAGCAGCGTTATGTGATTTAGATTCTTCATGGTCTTTGATTCTTTGGTATATATGGGAGAACTTTTTAAATCCAAGAGTAAAACTAAAATCTTCTTTTGAAAATGCCATTCATGCATTGCAGTAAAGTGCCACGATTTGATTGCCTAGAACTCTTGCGGTTATCCAGCGTCTTTGTACATACTTACTATCTGATATCAATCTTTGGTACACTCTTTTTGGATCATTGGTAAATGCTTTACATCTGTATGGTTCGGCTGAATCATGTTATTATTTACTAATGCTATTCTTTGGTTACGCTGTGCACTGTAAGGATGCCGTTTATAAATCAATTTTGTTGTTCGGGTACACTGATGTTTATGGTTGAGAATACTTGAGTTAGCATCATCTTTTGTTAGTTCTATATACACATCATATATACTTTCTTCGGTAACAACTGCACCGAGTTCTAACGAACAGTCTGTTATAGTTTTTACGGGTGATTTGCTAATGGTAAGATCTGATTGCTTATCTTGTTGAGGACTGGAGGACACTGTATTTTACACGATACTTGCTTCAATGATTACGTTAGGCGTTATATTCCACAAAAAAATATTTTTCTTAATTAAAAATAGGTTTGACGCGGGAACAGATGCTTCTTCAACAACATTGGTAATATATTCATTATTAAATAGCAACCTGCGT